TTATATTGCTGCAAGCTGCGAGAGGTAAGATGAACCAAATCCTGCGCTGTGATTGGTTATACGGGTGAGAAAGACGGCGCCATCTTGTCCGCTCGATATTTCCTCCCGTTCCCCATTAAAAAAAAATGAGAGTTTTTAACTTTTAGCAGTCTCTGTTTTCCTCTTTGTGCTACACTGAAGTTGATAAGATCTTATAAAGAAAACCAGATGCTGAAAGCAGGAATCTGAGAGGCATGAATTGACCCTTGTCGACCCTATTAAAGCACTTAACCTTGTCAACTCTATTAAGCACTTTTCAAAGAGAAGCTTTTTAACTGATCCTTAATACGCGATAAGGCATCCTTTGCATTCACGAAATTGGACCGATATTGTTCAACCGAGATTCGCGAACCAACTGTTGATCTTGAAAAAGCAACAACAGGGTGACTGTAAACACTGTTCTAGTGTATTTCTAACAATTGAAGTATAATGCAAGTGCAAGGCAGTCTTTTTCAGTTTCTGAGAGTTTCTGACAATCTCTGACAATCCCTGCCAATATTTCTTACTTAGAAGTGTGGCCTATATCAATCAGTTCAAGCCGATATAAGTGTTGGCTAGCGAGATATTGGCTTGCAAAAGTACAATGACTCCTTTTGCTGTATAGGGCAACCCGCGCCGAACATTCAGGCCGATTAATTTTAGGTGGCGAAAGCGTACCAGCCCCTACGCAACCTGCACTAACCACAAACCGCTTTTGTGAGCAAAATAACTCCCGATATGGACACCTGAAGGGAAGATAAAAGAAAGCTATCAATAAACAATACAACTGCCTAAGCCTAACCGAAATTAGGAAGCTGGATTTTCGATAAATGAAATCGGACATGCAATTAAGCATAAGCTTAAATACGAAATTACGAAGGATACGAAGGTAGATTTTCGATACATGCAAACAGACAACGTATCGCATTTCAAAACAAGCCATAAAAGAAAAACAAAACCTACCGTGGCAACTGAAAGCTGGGAAAATAAAAATGAAGTCTTCTTAAAACCGATAAATGGTCCACGAGTGTGAGGCGGCCAACACGAAGGAGGCAGAAAATCCACTCGCACAAGCCAATTTCTCATCTACAGGATCTAAACTAATTCCTTTCGATCACATGACTTTATCAAACAGGCAAAGTCCTTGGCTGCCAGCTTAGTGTGAGCTGACGCGTACACTAACATAAGAGTTCTTTATGCGATGTAATAAATCCTCTATTGACGAAGTTTGTTCGGTGTAGTTGGCCGGTTAATGGCTTCCTCCTGTCTTAACCTGTAAAAGGATTTAGGCGCAGACCACTTAAACAAGACGCAAAGAACATAATGAGTGGAGTCATGTCATGTGATCTCATGTCACGTGTAAAATTACACCCAACAAAAGAAGTGCCTGGGTAATGCGTGGTAACGCTGGCCCAGCATATCTATTGCTTTTCTCGTGTACAAGGAGTGATAGTTAGGTTGTCTTGTAAGTGACGTCCCTCATGTTCCTACACTTCCTTCAAGAAAAGTTCATATTCTGTCACACTGACAGAACCACTATGAGCTTGTTATTTTCGTGGATAGATTTGAATGCTGACATTGTTGAATGTTAATCACCGTTGATTTATGTAGGGCGTATTACCGTTACTGGACTGGGTACTATGGTCTGCCTGTCGCTGGCTGGAACGCAGGGGATAATGGCAAAAAGTACTTAAACATCAAGGGGTGAGAACAAGAAAATTCCTTTTTTATAAAAATGATTATCTGGCTTTCATGTGCAAATGCAGGGGAAAAATAAATAATAGTCGCAACCTCTGAACACGACAAATAAGGAGGAGTGCCGCCACAATAAAATAGGTGTCACAGAAAATCGCAGAAAATGGCACCCAATTCAAGGGGAAAACGTTATAGTGTCTCTCTCCAGCCGGTTCCATAAATGGGTACACGCGAATTGAACGCTGACGAAAAGGGATGTGCCGGAATAGCATTTCATTTAGAAGAAGATAGAAATACTCCTAGTTGATTTATGTTTCAGAAGAAACGCGCCGGCCTAAAGGGTCTCTAGGCGCGGAGGCAGCAGGGATAAGCAGATAGCGGTAATCTTCCACCGTCTTCAAGAAAAATTAAACAAGGAGTGACGAGAAGATTTCTCTTGCTGATAATGTTCACGTGCTGAATTATTTGTCTTTCCACTTTTTCTTGGTGATTATTTCAGTTCCGGTACTCTGTTTGGAATGTATAACCTCCACAGAAAAGCAGGAAATACAGGTTTGCTGGGAAGACATTTTTGGAGAATCGAGAACAGCAATGTAAAAAATGCGTTGGAGAAGTGTTTTACGTGGACGATCCTTCAACAGAAGATAAACGTTCATGAAAGGTACAACCAACTAATACGATCAGACTGGCAGATGGCGTGTCCTTGTACTGAATGGCAAGCGTGGTTAGACTGGGGTAGATTCTCTTGGGACTGGTGGTATTCGTGGCCCCAACTGTGCTATGACTCCAGACGTTCCAAGTTTATCCCATATTCCGATTCTGCTACAGGATTAAGAGGTTTTCGGTTACGACAACGATGTTGTTACTCTACGCAGTGGGAAGACTGGGGATCACTCAAGGAGGGACCTCCTGACGGTGGTCGCGTCCAAGTAAAGGCAGTTTATAACTGGTTCAGTGAGGCGAATGAGATGGAAAAGGTTTACACGGACGAGGAGGCCTATAAACACTGCTGCGTTGACACACCTTTGTGTGATTTGTTTTATTTCTATCGTCCGTCTGATAGCTGCTCACTTTACAGACCTCCACGAAGGCGTAAGTTATAATTTAAATTAAATTAGAATGTATTACTCCCCACTGCACTGCAGTGCACTACACAATACTGCATTACACTTCACAACACTACACTACACTACACTACACTACACTACACTACACTACACTACACTGCACTGCACT